TGTTGAAGACACAGGAAACAGATGTGAGTGGAGAGGGAGATTGTACTATTCAGAGACGTGTATTTTCTAGCTCTGTTTTCCTTTCTGCTAGAGTACAAAGAACAGTGAAAATGATTCCCTTACTTCCAGACTCTCCATTCTCCTATTTCCAGAAGAGCGAAAGAGCAGCCTCTTGCAACCAGGGTTTTAAGGCAGAGAGAGACACGTGGATGGTTCTAAATCATGGCAATGGCTATAGCCACAACAGAAATATCAAAGTTTTTTTTACTTCATGGCCAAATCAAAAAGTAGTGTATTATACTCACAGCTTATTCATTGTTTTGATAACTTTTCATAAATATGCAACACAGACCATACAGGAAACTCTCCTTGGTAATGGTTGGAGGTAGAGAAAAGGAGAGTTTTCAAGCTCACATATATCTAGACTAGTCATAGATAATTCAAATTTTCAAAAACAATAGAGGATAGAAAGCATTATTTGCTTATTTTGATGTTGTTACTATTCTTTTAAAAAAGTAAAGGGCACATTTTTTTTTTCATTTCCAATAATCCAAAATAATTACTTGAATAAACCAAATTTAAATGGAGTCAATATATCCAGAAAAGAAGATAGTCTAAGTAAAATCCAATCCAAGATGTCAAATTGGACATGTGTATTTAATTCCATTTCCTCTACAAGCCAATAAAAGGATTTCTCAAAATTCACAAGAAAAAAAATTAAATGGAAGAGAAGACCACAGAATTAAGGTTTGGAAAGATTAAAGACTAAAGGAATGAAAAAATAACAGGCACAGCACACCTGAGAAAACAAGTATGTAATTAAATGCAGCAGGAGTGGGTAAAAAATAGATTTAACTCTCAAAATTTAAATAACTAGCACATGCCTCTTCTCTATCTGGGATGAAGATCTAGTCTGTAGTCTTTATAACAGATGGCCTCTAGACTATACAACCAAAGATACTGACTATTCCCATTATGATTGTTTTATAAGCTTGGGCAAAGCAACTATTTAATTAAGTTCACAAACTCCAGCTCCATTATTTCTGACAGTAAACATACAGCAAGGACAATTTGTTTCTGTTGTTCTATACAACTAATGGTGTCTGTCAATTAAGACCTCACTGAGTTTTATCTCTAAATGTGGTGTCCCTACCCCTGCTACTTTAGATTTTCTCACAGAGTACTGGCTGGGTTCCAAATGCAGAGTCTCATGGGAGTAAGAGAAAAGTTTGCCACATTCATGAGATCTAACATCTTATAAGATATGGTCTTCTAAAGGATAAGTCCAGCTATGGCTTTAAATGATTTACTTACACCTTGGGATGCCAGTGGGGGGAAATCCTAGGATAATTTTCAGTGTCATAGGATTGCCATTTCTCAAAGGCTATGGAGAGTTTGATTTTTATTGTTTTCTTTTTTTAAGTATAAGCTTATTCTTTTTAAGAAATTAATTTTAATGAAAGTTTACAGAGACTTAGGATTTCCATTCATTCATTGTTGCACTTTTCTTCCTGCCCACCCCCACCCCTAATTCACTCTTCTTTTTGAAAAGTTGTTGTTGTTGTTATGTGCGGTCGAGTCCTCTGCGACCCATGGCGACCCTATGTACTAAACCGAGCTCTATCCTGTGCCAATCTCATTACCTCTGACACACCCATCCCGAGTACCCCAGTCAGTGAATCAATCCACCTTATAGAGGGTCTTCCCCTCCTGCGCTGTCCCTCTACTCTACCCAGCATGATGTCCCTCTCTAAGGACCTGTCTCTCCTTACAACATGTCCAAAGTATGTCAGACGAAGCCCCAGAATCCTTGCCTCCAAGGAGCAGCCTGGTTTAATCCTCTCTACGATGAATCTGTTTGTTTTCTTGGCAGTCCATGGTACATTCAATACTCTTCTCCAGCACCACAGCTCAAAGGCGTCAATTCTCCTTCTATCCTCCCTAGTCATTGTCCAACTCTCTGATGCATAACAAGTGATTGCAAAACCCATGGCCTGTATCAGGCGGACCTGATCTCCAGAGAGACACTGTTGCTCTTGAGTATTTTGGAGAGGTCCCTAACCGCAGACTTTCCCATCGCAATACGTTTTTTGATTTCCTGGCTACTGGTGCCAAGAGTGTTGACTGTGGAGCCGAGCAAACTAAAGCTGTGAACAATCTCAATCTCTTCACCATCCATCCTGATGCTACCTATTGGTCCAGTGATGAGACTTTTTGTCTTCTTGACATTGAGCCTCAGTCCATATTGAAGGCTGCAGTCCTTGACCCTCTGCAGTAAGTGCGTGAGGTCCTCCTCAGTTTCAGCGAGCAAGGTTGTGTTGAAAAGTAAAAGAAAAATTATTTCATTGTTATACAATCCCTACCCCAAGTCCACTCCACTGTGCAGCCTTCATTCTGGACTCCTGTCATGTCAATAATACCTAATCATATATCCCTTTTAAACAGTTTTCTCCCTCATATATTTCAATGCAGTATACATTATTTATCCCCTCTTTCTCAGTCTTCCCTGAACCCCTATGTCAGTCCTGTTTTACTTTTAAACGGGATTTTTTTATTTTCTAAAAATTATTATTTTGTACTGATTTGCATACAAAACTTATATAAATTGTTTTGTTTATATACATTGTGACTCACATATTCACTCTGTGTTTCATATGATCATTCCCATATATTGTGTTTTATAACATTAATCACAATTGATCCATGACCACCACTACCCTGTCTTTTTCAGGTCTCCAGAAGATTTTTTCCTAATTCTTTCACTCTCTCCTTCTTCCCACCAAACTTCATGACCTCATGATTTCTCCCTCCTCCCTCCCTTCATGCTTTGGACTTTTGTACACACGTTATTAGTAATTCTTCTATTTTTAAAATAATAGTCTTCTGCAGTATTTGTCCTTATGATACTGAATTATTTCACTCAACATAATGCTCTCCAGCCTCTCCCATGTTATATAGTATCTTTCTCAATCATTGCCCTTGAGTGCTGCATAGTATTCCATCCTGTGGAATTTCTCAAGGCATTTGTTTGTTAATAGACATTTGGGCTGTTTTCATTTTCTTGCTACTGTAAATAAACTACTATGAACATTACTGTACAAATTTCCATTTATGTCTTAGTTCTATTTTCCTCAGAGTATATTCCTAGCAGTGGAATAGCTGAGTCTTATGCAATTTCAATGTTCAGCTTTTTGAGGAAATACCATACTGCTTTCCCTAAAGTTGTACCATTTTACAATTCCACCAACAGTGTATGAGAATTCTAATCTCTCCATAGCCTCTTCAACATTTATTACTTACTGTCCTGTTATACTTTGCCACTATTACTGAGGTTTTGGTTTGTGGTTTTGGTTTGCATCTCTATTATTGCCAATGATTTTGAGCCTTTTTGTGTATATTGGCCATCCAAATGTCTTCCATTGTGAAAACTCTTTCCAGGTCTTTTTACCAATTTTGTAAATGGGTTACAGTTTTTTTCTTTTGAAGGCCCTATAGTATTCTGTAAACTTTCATTATAAACCCTTTTCTGAGATTGCATTGCCAAATGTTTTCCCCCCCATCAGTAGGTCTTCCTTTCACCTGATTAAGAAATAGTTTTTGATGCACACAAGGACTCAATCTTTATAAGGTCCCAGTAGTTGATGTTATCCTCTCCTGGTTGTGCATTTCTGGCTGTATTTGCAAACCTCTTTATATTATAGCTAGACCTTTTAAGTTTGGTCCCATTTTGTCTCTTATAGTCTTAATGGTTTGGGGCTTTATGCCTAGGTCTTTGGTCCAGCTGAAGTTGATTTTTGTGTGTGGTGTGAAATGTAGATCCTGCTTCAGCTTTCTGCAGGTCAAAGTCCAGTTTTTCCACAATCATTTGTTGAAGAGGTTGTCATTTCCCCAATTTGATAGGTTGGGGTTTTTTTTAGGGTTTGTTTTGTTTTGTTTTTTCAAATATCAGTTATAGGTGGATGGTTAAGGACAGTATTCTCAGCTGTCAATTGTTCTTCTTCAGATAATAAAAATAAAAAATTACCAGAAGAAATGGCTTATGTATTTTCTAGGCATTCTCTATATTGTTTTGATATGCCTCCACTCATCTGTCAAGCTGTTATAATATGGTGGCTTATATGTTACTGTGTTACTGGAAGCTTTTCTAACAGTATTTGAATTATCAACAACAGCACCCATGTGGGCAGGTTTCATTAGAGCTTTTAGACTGAGACAAAGAAGGATCTAACAATCTACTTCTAAACAAATGAGTCTATGAAAATCTCCTTGAAGTGAGGATGTTGAGACTTCATCTCATACTTTGGGCCTGCTTTCAGGAAGGACTAAACCCTGAAGTACATCATGCTTCAAAAACAGAGGGTCAGCAAAAATAGAGAAGACATTAAATGAGACATATTGACAATGTTGTTGGATAAGTACAAACATTATACCATTACTTGAATGGCAAATCTATTTCATGACTCACATGTGTCTTCAGACTCTGGAAGACTGACGATGAGACACATTCCTGTGAGACTAGCAAATTTCCCCTCTTCTGTACAATTTAATAATTCTTCTTTGATTGCTTTTTAAATTTGCTTCCATTGTCCATCAGTTCTGTTGTAATTGTTCCATTCTTGCTTTTGTATTGATAGTGTTGTTGTTGTTGTTGTTGTTATTGCTTTGTTATCAGAAGCCCTGGAGTCAGCTCCAACTCATGGTGACCTATTTGTAACAGGACAAGACATCACTTGGTCCTGTGCTCTCCTGATGATCCTTGTGACCATTGTGCTAATCCATCCCTGTCAGTTTTCCTCATTTTTGTTTTCCCACAATTTCAACAATCATGATGTCCTTAATCTTTCAATATCTTTGTCAGGTAATTAAGTTAACCACACATTACAAACAAATATTCCAAATATTACCAAATGTTAAAGTCCCCATTTTTATATTCTTTTATGACAGAGGGTTCCTACTTTCCAGTATGCCTTTATCTTTGTTTTATTTTGTTTTATTTACAGGTACATGTCAATTTTATATTCTGATCCTGATTTTCCAGAGAGAGGGCCAAAAGAGATTAATGAAGAGCTAATGAAAAATGTTAGCCACAACCCACTTTTACTTCTCACACCACAGAAGATGAAAAGATACTTTGAGGCTTTATGGAAGAAGAAAAGCTCTGGACAACCTGTCACCTTTACTGATATGTTTGGGATGTTAATAGGAGAAACACTAATTGGCAATGTAAGCTATGGTTGCATCTACAATACTTTCAGTAATATAAGTAGGCAGTGTTTATTATAATATTTTAAATTAAAGGAAAAAATGTTGGTTGCCTTTTGTAAAAATCACTGACTCAGCTTGTTCTTGCAACAATGAGTACCGAGCACATACTGTGCCATGTAGTACAACTGCTTTGATATTTAAGATGTTTGCTTATTGGTTCACTCAAAAGTTTTGATGTTATCAGGAGCGCTTCCATTTTTCTTGTCTTTGGAAAATATACATATTAATCTGTGGCTGCTTGTCCATCACAACCCATTCAATGGGAATATTTTAGATGAGGAAGTCAGTAATGGGAACATTTGGAGAGTAGAAAACTAGAGTCTGGTGGCATAATCTGTAAAGAGTTGTGTTGCTAACCCAAAATCCACACTTTTCTGGCAGGTCAAATCCATTAGAAGTCATGAGAGGGAAATAAGGACAATTTCCTCCCATGATGTTTACAGCCTTAGCAACCCAATGGAATGTCAGTTGTGAGTTGGTTGTGACTTGATGGCAATAAGTTGTGAGGAAGAATGCAGAAAACCTAGAGATAAAACAGAAGCATATCACAGAATACAAGCCCACTTGACACCTTCCTGCATTGTGACATTTATGCTTGCAGATAAATAAAGGAGATAGTCTCTTAAGGAGTCAATTTTGAGCCTAAATTACCTCTGGACACAGGAGTTTTTAAGTCTTTCCCCAGGCAAATGTAGAGAGAGTCATTGCTTTTAGAAGGAAAAGAATCAATTCCATAGAGCCTACTATTTGTTCTTTACTCAGACATAGAAATTTCCATGGAAGTAATTTTCTATGTAAATTTTATTATAAAATTATTTTAGCAAACTCACACTGAGAATAGTGTCTTAAAGAGATTTCTACTTGCATCTGTTTGTCTTTTTAAAAACTTTTTTTTTCTGTGTACAGAGAATGACCACTACGTTAAGTAGTTTGAAAGAAAAAATCTGTCCTGCAAAATGTCCCTTTCCTCTCTTCACCTGTCTCCATGTCAAACCTGATGTTTCAGAGTTAATGTTTGCAGGTATGTAATTCCATCTTCCAGAACATTTTTAGAACCTTTTGTAATTGCTCATAATTTTCATTAGAGGGAAATTTATGCAAATTTTGATGCTTACTTTAGTACATTTTCTGTAATTTAAGAGTAGTTAGAAATAACATTTTTTTATTATCAAATTTTATTAGTTTTAATGAACATTTACAGGGATTTTGGGTTTTCATTCCTTCATTGCTGCACCATTCTCTCTACCCTCCTCCCCAGTTTGTTCTTCTTCCCCGCCATCCGAATGTCTGTTTTAATTGTCCAATTGCCACAGTGCTTGTCAAAGTCAGTTCTGATTAATCTCCTTTGTTGGTGCGTCCTTTGCCATTCCCTATCACTCCTCCCTGAGAGAGATTTCACCCTGATTCATAAGGAAAAGGGGATGGAGTATTCTCTTAGCTACTTCCTGCTGAAAAGGGACGCTGTGGGTTTCAGGGTGAAGATCTTCTCTCACCACTCTAAAGGGTCCCTTTGGCAGTAGGAAACACATAGACCATTATGGAGATTGATTTTGGAATTTAGATGCACTCTTATTGATTGTGCTTGGCCGTACATGTTCATATCTTTGAAGATGCATCATGGGGGCGTTGCAACCTAGAAGACACAAATTTGACTAACAAGTTATAAGTACATGAGTCAAAAATTATGGAAAAGTAAAAGAAAGGATTCTTTCATTGTTTCACAAGCCCTCCCCCAGGTCCCCTCCACCATGTAGCCCTCGCTCTAGACTCCTGTGATGACAGAAATACCCAGTCATATATCTCTCCTAAACAGTTTTCTCCCTCCTCTGCTTCAGTGCAGCATACATTACTGAACCCATCTCACTCAGTCTCTCCCCAACCCCAAGGATAGTCCCATTCTACAACAGTGGCACCATGCAATATTTGTCCCTTTGTGACTGGGATATTTCACTCAGCATAATGTTCTCCAGAGTCAACCATTTTGAATAATATTGCATGAGTTCCTTGTTTTTGAATGCAGCATAGTGTTCCATTGTGTGAATATACTACAGCTTCTCTAGCCATTCGTTTGTTGATGGGCACTTAGGTTGTTTCCAACTCCTTGCTATTGTGAACAAAGCTGCAATAAACATGGGAGTGCATATATCTGCTTGGATGTCAGCTATGGTCTCTTCAGGGTATATTCCCAGTAGTGGAATTACTGGGTCAAATGGTATCTCTATTTGCAACTTTTTGAGAAAGCGCCATACTGCTTTCCACAGGGGTTGCACCATTTTACACTCCCACCAACAGTGAATCAGGGTTCCAGTTTCTCCACAACCTCGCCAGCATTTGTTGCTTGCTGTTCTGTTAAATTTTGCTATTTTGACTGGGGTGAGATGATATCTTATAGTTGTTTTAATTTGCATCTCTCTTAGGGCTAGGGATTTTGAGCATTTCTTCATGTGCTTGTTAGCCATCTGAATGTCGTCTTCAGTGAAGTGCCTGTTCATGTCAGAGATTGTGAGAATGGTTTAGGATAAGACAAGGCTCTGATCTGTTGTTCTGTTTGGCATTTTAAATGTTTGGGATCACCCTAGATTGGCTTCATGTATTAACATAAGATCATTTTTATTCCTTGGTGAAAAGAGACAATTTTATCATTGATTCATTGTCTTTGGACCTGACTATGCTTGATTTGACTGTCTGACTGAGATACACTTCCTGAGAAAGACATTATAAACTGCTCATTTTTAAGCTTCTGCAATAGGGCAGTATAAATGGTATCTTTCAACAAAATCTTATGAAACTCTCAAACACTTTGCGTGCCTTGTACTCAGATAAGACATTCAAAGATGCATGCCATGATAGTTGCAGTATCCTAATTAAAATGAAAATCAATGATGTCAAGTCATTTCCACCATTTTGCTGTTTTGCTGTTCTGTAGGGGCTTCATGGGGCAAAGCTGTTAATCTAAACTACAAACTGGCTCAATTTTTCTCCTGGGCAATGGGTTCCATCCACTCTGTCAGGAAAATAATGCTTAACCCACTGTGCCACCAGAGATTCTTCAGAAAGACAATGGCGTGTGGAGGGGAAAATTATTCTTGCTCTGGGAAAAAATAATTCCCCAACTTTTAAAAGTTAAAGGAGTAGGAGATAAAACAATGTTACATGCTCCTGGAGTTAATTCTCCTTTGAACTGTGATGTGTTCAAGTGTCTGGAATAAGAAGCAAGCCCTCACTCATCTCACCACTGCTGATTGGTAATTTCCTGGTGATAATGCTGGTTTGCTAAATGTATTTAAGCATCAGTAAAAGTAAACAACAATGTAACTATTCAATCCAGGAAGAGACTGGAAATTTAACAACAGCAGCAAAAGAGAAAAATCAAGATTTTGTTTCTCACTGTATCAGCAACAACACACTGATAATGTCAGTGAAAAAGAGAAAAATGACACCAATTTAGGAAATCTAAAACAGGCTACCTTCACCACTCATCTGCAACTCCAATCCTATTTGCAAGCTTCCGAGCTGAGAATATTTTCACTAATAATAAAGCATATCTCTCCATAAAAAAAAAAAAAGTCATTTCCACATAGAGTGAATCCTCTATACCAGAGAAGACTGCCCATCTGCCCATCTTTATCCTAAAGAGTGTAAGGTAGATTAGAACTACTGACCTTTTAGTTAGCACTCTAATGCTTTATGTGCTTTGCCACCAGGGTATACATACACACTCCCCACCCCCACCCCACCCCGGATCAGCTGGCAGATTCTAACTTTGAGCCTTTAGACTGCAGAGCAGTTTCTTACCCCTGGGCCATCAGAGCTCCCATAAATTTGGCTATGTGAATCCAGTCATAGACTCCATGTTGGAGAAAGGCTTGGAAAAGTAGAGATTCAGTGACCCTCAAAGAGATGAATTGACCCAATGATGGCTGTCACTATTATTACTTACTCAAAAAGAACCATCACTTTTACTCTCAAGACTAGTTTACTGTCACTTTAAATCACAAGATCACAGCTCCAAAATGTTTTGTCTTGTTTTCACAGGAGCCGCTTATTTACTTCTTCACATCAAATCCCTTATCACCTCCCTCTGGCAAACATACAGGCTTTTCACTTCTCTCCAGTCCTTACTCTCCTTAGTTTCAGAACCTTATTAGCAGAACCACAATGATACCATGCTTCTAATTCTGTTCCTTTCCATATGACTCACCAATACATTTTTTTTAAACTACCATTTAAATTATCATTTTACCTTGTCAAAAATAATTGAATAGATTGCATCTTTTTAATATTAAATAAAATTTCTGACTGTAATACAAATATTTCCATAATGTTGTTGTTATTGTTATGTGCCGTCGAGTCGCTTGTAACTCATAGCGACCCTATGTACAACAGCCCTAAACTCTGCTCTGTCCTGTGCCAATTGCACTGTCTCCAACACTCATATTCCGATTACCCCGGTCACTGAATCAATCCACCTCATAGAGGGCCTTCCTCTCCTGCGCTCTCCCTCCACCCTCCCAAACATGATGTCCTTCTCCAAGGACCGGTCTCTCCTCAAAACATGTCCAAAGTATGTTAGATAGAGCCTCAGTATCCTTGCCTCCAAGGACCCCTTTCCAGCACAAATCTGTTTGTTTCCCTAGCAGTCCGTGGTATTCTCAATACCCTTCTCCAGCACCACAGCTCAAAGGCATCAATTCTCCTTCTATCTCCTTGGTCATTGTCCAACTCTCTGATGTATAACAAGTGATTGCGAAGACCATGGCCTGTACCAGACACACCTTAGTCTCCAGAGAGACACCATTGCTCTTCAGTACTTTGGAGAGGTCCCTAACAGCAGACTTTCCCATGGCAGTGCGCCTTTTAATTTCCTGGCTGCTGGTGCCAAGACTGTTGACTGTGGAGCCAAGCAAACTAAAGCTGTAAACAATCTCAATCTCTTCACCATCCATCCTGATGCTGCCAAATTGGTCCAGTGGTGAGAAGAAAAAAATTCCCAAATATACCACCTATTATTCACCTGCATAGACAAGATTCTGAGGCTATTTTTTATTTTCAACATAATAATGGCAATAAGTTATCGAATTCTTTCTGACTCACAGCAATTCCATGAGAGATTTCAAACTTGCACACAGCAGGAAGTTGGAAAGGAACTGATGGAGGTTCAGGAGAGGTGCATGAGTCAGAGCAGTAGAAATAATCATCCAACCAGCTGTACTGAATCCTTCAACAAGGACCAGAGGGCATACCTTAACTCTTAAGAATGTCTGTAATTAGTCTGCACCTTAGTATTAATAAAGGAAGCATAACTGGAAAACAGGAATTAGGAAGTTTTTATGTTTCAGCCACCAGGATATAGTATAAAATCCAAAGGCAGGAAATTACTTGTAGTCAGATTTTAAAAAAAAACAAAAACAAAAAAAACACAACCAACTGATTCTTATAAAATTGATTCCACCCACCCACCCAGTCTTACAAAAAGTGTCTGCCATATACCATGCCAGGGAGATGAGATGAACTGGATTATGAATTTTTTTTTATTTGACATATTGTTTTTACAAAAATGTCCGATAGAAATTTTCTTAACAGTTTTGGACCCAATGCTGTTGAGGCATTAGTAGCTCTGTATCAATTATATTGTTTAACAATATGTGCTACTAGGAAACATTGGTGGCCTAATGGTAAGAATTTGCTTTGTCAGTCCTAAATTATGTGGTTCAAATCCATGAGCTGCTCTGTAGAAGAAAGATGGCCAGTCTCCTCCCATGTGATTTACTGCCTCTGAAAACTCATTTTTCAAAGGGTCAGTTATGAGTTGGTTCTAACTCAAGAGTATACAACAATAATAATGTAGGCTATTATTTAGGTCTGATCGTGTAGTCCGTAGGGATCTACTGGCTTAAGGGTGGCATTTCTCTGGCAGTTTGAATCTCTCAGAGGCTCCACAAAATAAAGATGGATCATCTTCTCTCATACGATTTACAGCCTCTGAAAACTCACTGGAGGGTCAGCTGTGAGTTGGTTCTACCTCGATGGTGATGAATTTTGATATTTCTGTTGAAAAGTATACATGACATTTTATTCATCTGTTTACAGTGATTTAAATTTAATTACAGTGGTGTCTTATGGACACTGTGATTCCATAACTCCCTTCTTAAAATTAGAATATTTTGATCTTCCACTAAATAAATGATACACACAGGCTCTTGTTTCTTTTCAAAAAATTTCTTCAGCAACTGGGTTCTGGAGTATTAGTTTTTAGGCTTTGAAGTTCTTCGCTTTAAAATTCACTTTGCATAATACTCCAGTGAGATCTAATACTCAAACAGTAATATTTCTTTAGTAGAATATATCCAGACTCACACTGATTAGGATGTATAAAGCAAAGAAAGAAAACATGCCATTTCAAAACTGATTTTTCTAGTAAATTGGTTTAGTTCAGATTATTTCCACAACTTGGTAGGTGATGCAAGTAGACTTTTGAAGGATTTTCTATTTATTTACTTAATTTTGCATATTTTATATTGTTGGATTAGGGATTGTTGTTAGGTGCTGTCAAGTCAAGTATAACTCATAGTGACACAAAATAATAGATCTCAACTCTGTCCTGTTCTTATCATTTCTCTGTCTTCCTTATCAGTTCTGACTTACTTGAGTTCATTACGGCAGTCACTGAGATATGTTATAATTTCAGAAAGATAAATATAGATAAAATACACTTATAGAATGTTATGGTTTAGGTGAAGGCAGGTGATGGTGTTACTTTGAAAAGGATGGTTAAGAAACACCTTGATTGAATATAGAGAAGGAAGAAATCTCATAATGGCAAAAGGGTATTAGGCACTGAGGTTAAGAATGAGCTTGGCCTGTTTGAGGAATAGCAACAGGACCTGTGTGGCTGAAATGAAATAAGCAAGATAAAACCTTACAGGAGATTGATTAGAATCTGTAATCAGACAGGCAGCAGGGACCAGGTTACCATGGAACCTCATAAGACATATTTTGAATTTTCAGCGTAATGGGGAGCCACTGGAAAAGTTACAGTTGATATTGGTGAGCTCTAATTTTTATTTTCAAGATTTTATTTTGGCTGTACACTAGCAAAAACTCTGTAGGGCAAGAGACTATACAACTGGGTAAATGGTGTGGAATCAAGCAGCTAACACAAAAGTACATGGTTTGAATCCACCAGCTCTTTCAAGGGAGAATGATGGGCAGTCATACTCCTGTGCAATTTAACTGCTGGGGGCTAACTAAGCTGGTTGGGTCTTACTCAGTGACACACAACACACTGTAGAGCTTTTTCACTCTGTTGTTGTTGTTGTGTGCCATTGAGTCAGAACCTACTCTTAGCTGACTCTTCAGGGGGTTTTCAGAAGCAGTTAATCACACAAGAGGAGATTGCCCATCCTTCTGTGGAACAGCTGGTGGATTTAAACCTTGTGCCTTTGGTATTGCAGCACAGCTTCTTACCATTATTGTTGTTGTTGAGTACCATCTAGTTGGAACTGACCTATAGCTGACTCTCCAGCAGGTTTCCAGAGACAGTTAATCACACCAGCGGAGAATTTCCATCCTTCTTTTATAGAGCTGTTGATAGATTTGAACCATGTGCCTTCCTGACTGCAGTGCACCATCTTACCACTAGGCCACTGAGCTCCCTCTTACTACTAGGCCACCGAATTCAAAGGCATATGGTTCTGATCCTAGACCTGCTTAGAAAGAGAAAGATGGTCATTCTCCTCTCCTGAAATTTACAGCAGTCAGGAAATTAAAAGGCACATTGCCATGGGAAAGTCTGCTGTTAGGGACCTCTCCAAAGTACTGAAGAGCAATGGTGTCTCTCTGGAGGCTAAGGTGCGTCTGATACAGGCCATGGTCTTCACAATCACTTGTTATGCATCGGAGAGTTGGACAATGACCAAGGAGGATAGAAGGAGAATTGATGCCTTTGAGCTGTGGTGCTGGAGAAGAGTATTGAGAATACCATGGACTGCTAGGAAAACAAACAGATTTGTCCTGGAAAGGGTTAAACTGGGTGGCTCCTTGGAGGCAAGGATTTTGAGGCTCCGTCTAACATACTTTGGACATGTTGTGAGGAGAGACCGGTCCTTATAGAGGGACATCATGCTTGGGAGAGTGGAGGGACAGTGCAGGAGAGGAAGGCCCTCTATGAGGTGGATTGATTCAGTGACTGGGGTAATTGGAATGTGTGTGTCGGAGACAATGAGATTGGCACAGGACAGAACAGAGTTTAGTGCTGTTGTACATAGGGTCGCTATGAGTCGCAAGCGACTCGATGGCACAAAACAACAACAACAACAATAACTCACTGGTGAGTCATCTAGAGTTCACTTCCAAATCAGTAGCACATAACAACAGCAACAGTGGTGGCCTCCACTGTTTCCCACCACATTGCTGGAGATCCCAAAGGCGAAGACATAAGACATATTGATGCATTTGGAATGTGGTGGTGGAGAAGAGTACCAAATATTCATAAACAGAAGAAAAAAAACAAACAGGTCTTGGAGAAAGTGCAGCCAGAATGCTGCTTGGAGACAAAGATGACAAACAAAACTTCATCTCACATACTTTTGTATGTATTGCTAGGAGAGAATGTTTCTTGGAGAGAGATATCAAGCTTGGAAAGGTGGAGGGTCGCAGAAGGAGAGGAAGACCCTCTAATGAGATGGATTGACACCGTAACTGCAGCAATGAGTTCAAGTGTGTCAAGGATGGTGAGGATGGCACAGGATAGGACCAGGTTCAGATCTGTTGTTCATAGGATTTCTATGAGAAATAACTTGACTTAATGGCACCTAGCAACAACAGATCGTACAGTGGTAAAGTAATTGTCTGCTACCAGGAAAGTAAGTGGTTTGAACCCACCATGGGGGAAATATGTGATTGCTTACGTAAGATTTAAAGTCTTGGGAACCCTAGGGGGCTATTCTACTCTGTTTGATACTATATTTTGACTTGGAATTAAAGATAAAATGGGTCAGGTTTAACATGAGCTTATTTGGGGCTGGATTTTGGTTTTGATCTTTTGTTTTGTTTTTATTGTGGAGATCTAGGGTAGAGCATACAGTAGCTTGTAGTGTGGACATGGCAGATGAAAGGTTGAGTTAGCAGGATCATTGTTAAAATGTATGATGATAAAACTTATCTGTTATTCACTCACTCACTCACTCACTCACTCGTTCACTCTCACTCGTTCACTCACTTGTTCCCGCCGTTCACTCACTGTAGTTGAGATCATTCTGATTCATAGCGATTCTCCTTCAGGTTTCCACTCTAAATTACAGTCTGTGCCCATCTCTCTTCTTAGGAGTACCTGGTGGATTCAAATTGCCAGTGACATAGCCTTCTGGGTAGTAGCAAAACACCCTATGAACTATAGTATGGGAGCTCCCTGATAGAACCTACAGGACTTGATTTTTCAGATCAAATGTGAGGAAAAAAACATAATAAGAATATTGTTATATGTGTATGTAGGTTGTCATTGAGTTGATTTTGACAGTGTCCTTATGTATGAGGTCAGAAAACTTTCTTCCTTGTTCTAACGTCATCACTCTTGTATGTTTGAGTTCATTCTAAGGAAATTCTTCCTCAATCACATCCCGAGTGCCTTTTGCCCTAAGATGTCCATGTTCTATATCAAATGAGCTATCAAATAATATTTTGTAAGGGTACATCATGATAAAATTTTGGAAGCAGTTTGTCAATATTTTCTTTCTACTTTGTTTTAATCTGGAGGCATCATTGATCATTTTCAAGTTACTCGTCATAGCAGATCTTGCTGGTGTTTGAAATGTGGTGGAAGAGCATCTTGGAACGCAAAGCCATTGAAATAGGGCCAACTGACAAATAGGTGGTGGAACAATAAATAAAGCCTTTTTTCCCTGAGCAAAAATTATAGTGTTATAATTTGTTGAGAGTAAGACTGGGGAAATTATAAGTGAGAGAAGAAGGATTCAGAAGCCATCAAACAAAAAACTGGATAAATTATATTTACTGCATTGAACCCGATGAGGGAGAGAATTGTTTAACAGCAATATATTTTAGGGCATTATGATTATCATAAGAGTCCGGAATGAGTGTTGCAGAGTGGAGTATACTCGGGGTGGGGGTGGGAATGGGGGTGTGCGGGCGAATTGTGTACCAATGAAGGAGTTTTTCTTTTGCTTTTCAAGGAGAGGAGCGAACTGGGAGTGGGGGTGGGGTGGGCAGGGAGAAAAGTGCAGCAATGAATGAATGGAAGTCCAAAATCTCTGTAGATGTTCATTGAATTTAATAAAAAAGTTTGGTGTGTTTTTGTTTTTTTTTTAAAAAAAGGAACTGTAGTTGCACAGGGACTGTAGTACTAGGCTTCTAACGAAAAAGATCAGTTGTTCAAATTCAAGAGCCCTCAATGGGAAACAAAAGGACTTTCATTTGGATTTTGAAATGTGAAATACTGTCTTTTTTGAAAACTAGAGAATTCTTTTATGTTGCCCCATTTTGGGTATGAGCTTTCTTTTTCACCAGCTGCTGTATAGGTAGTTGGCTAATGTTTTTCTCTTAACATTTTAATTAAATGAATGAAACCAATACAATTTTATTGGAGTTATCTCTTTGTATATATCTGTGTGACACTGTCAAATTAATCAATTTTCTTGTGTTTGAAATATTTTCAGATTGGCTTGAATTTAGTCCCTATGAGATTGGTATGGCTAAATATGGTACGTTTATGGCCCCTGAGTTATTTGGAAGCAAATTTTTTATGGGGTCAGTCGTGAAAAAATGTGAAGAAAATCCTTTACATTTCCTAATGGGTAAGTAGGTGGTCATAATCTGTCACTGTGTTGATTTGTTTAAGTCATAGTAACTCTGAGTTACATTCCGTTTTTGTTTTATTTTAGGTGTCTGGGGCAGTGCCTTTTCTATATTGTTCAACAGAGTCTTGGGATTTTCTAATTCATATAATACAGGTTCCACAATGGAAGAAGAATTAGGTACAGTAAAAATGTTTTAACAATGAATTTAATTTGAATATATGTGTGTATATATATATATAGACATAGATGACATAGATATACATATACATAGATATAAAGAGAGAAAGAAATTAAATTATCATAAAGATTGTAATTATTCAAAAGTTAATACTTTGAATTAACCTAAATATTTTGTCAAAATTATATATAAATTGTTTAACTATTAGTCTGACAGTGAGAAAATTAAATTCATAAAAACCGTAGTCTGTAAGAATAGTTTCCACAATGAAAGAATCTTTTCTTTTACTTTTCCAAGAGGGTAGTGTTCTGGGGTGGGGAGCCTTGGGAGGGGACAAATCTACAACAATGAATGAATGGAAATCCAAAGCCTTTGAATCAATCCAGTTCAAAAGTGGTTTGACTTTGATTTCTCCCTTTTAAAGAAAAGCCTTCAAATAAATTGAACCATAGTCAGGCAATTCTAACTTAAAATGTTTAACTTTCTTCACGAATTTGAATGTGAAAAATGTATGCTTTTGAATAGATGGAGTTGTACATTGTATTAGAGAAAAGGAATACACAGTTTAGAACATCTGACAATTCAAACACACAGAGAGGAATCAATAAAACTTAATGTTACAGGAGGTCTCACTGCCAACCAAAGGCAGGCTATTTGATTCCACCAGCTGCTCAGTGGGAGAAAATTGGGTAATCTCCTCCCATGAGATTTACAGCCTCTGAAAATCTACCAGAGGGCCAACTATGAGTCAGGTCCAACTGACAGGACATGGCAACAACAATTTACAAAGGAGGAAATTCTGGTGACATAGTTCATAAGGAATTGCCTTGTTAACCCCAACACCGTTCCTTTTTAGCGGCTCAACCAACCAGCATCTCTTCTTGAGAAAGATGGGCTATCCTCTCCCTGTAATTTACAGCCTCATAAATACAACAGAGGGTTCGCTATGAGTTGATTCCACCTGGATAGCAAAAATGAATGAGATATTTACAAAGAAATAATATTTTATTGAAGCATCTTCTTAAATCAAATTATTAAATATGACTTAAAAGGAAATGCTTAAGGAAGGAATATTTTCTCCTTCCAAAGTACAAATTGACCAGAAACATACCTTATGCATGAGATACATGGCATGAATAATTTCTAATTATCCCCTCTTCCTCTCTACAACCATAAAGCTTGATAATAATGAAAGGACATAAATAATTATATTGTTGAGAATTGTTGAGTTGGGACCAACTCCTAGCTGACCCTCCAGCAGATTTTCAGAGATAGTAAATCACATAAGAGGAGATTGTCCATCATTCTCTCACAGAACATTTGGTGGATTCAAACCGCCTAGCTTTTGGTTTGCAGCCATAATTCCTCACCACTAAGCTACCAGAGTTCCCTATATTAGTGAATAATAAACATTTAAATTAAATTTCCTTTATATAATGATGCCAGGAAAGATATATAGTGGGAGAAGGATGGGCATTCTCCTCCTGTGTAATTAAACTGCCTCTGAAAACCTGCAGGATGGTCAGCTATGGGTCGGATTTCACTCAGCAGTACTCAATAACAAAGATAGGTAAATCTAAGCATATGAAATTTATAACCTCATTCACAAGGTTTAACCCCTGTGTTCTGAATGGGAGCTGGACTAGTGCTCCTGTGAGTCTGAAAACCCGCTGGAGGGGCAGCTAGGACTTGGTTCCGGCTTTACAGCACACAACTATAATAACAGCAATTCTTCATGATAATGTATGCTTTTGTCATTTATGTAAGTATAATAAGTAAGCAAAAGAACTTTGGCGGCATGTTATATGTTGCACTATTAACCAAAAGTCAATGATTTAAATTTATCGGCTACTCCCCAGAAGAAAGATGGACAGTCTTTTCCATTAAAGAGTAAAGAGTCAATATGATATAGAAACCACTTGAGAAGAGTGGTGTAAGGAGAGCAAATGTTAAAACAGTTTTTCTCTGAGTTAAAAGTCTTGAACTACTGCCTCATTACTGTATTAAAAATGATCATGATGCAGAGATATTAAATGAAAGGATTTATTTTCGGCAATTAATCTGTGTGCATGAAGGGGCTTGATTCTAGAAGCAAAGTTGCTTTAATTAGGCAGGTTACAAATTGGTAAAAAAAAAATAACCTTTTAATTAAAGATTTGTTTGTTGTAAGTCTCAACTGATTTGATAACAGTCAATTCTTAAAGAATAGGCTATATATGCAGACATAGGTATGTGTTGTGCATGTGTGTATAGGCTAATAGGATATAGGTGTGCAGAAATAAGCCTTGACTTTTCTACAGATGGTTATAAGCAGAGTAATCTGTGTAGGCCATTATTTAGGTTTCCAAGTTTTCCCAAGTATTACTTGGAGAAAGTAAAATATCTGATATTATTTGGGAAAGATAAGTAGTTATTATACTAGATTTTATTGGTGTCTTTGCTTTAGGATTTGTGGTTCACATTGTAATTTTTTTAAATGTTCTCTTAATATGATTTGAAGAAAGTACAAATTCTTGACAGGAAAATGATGCATTTTTTTTATTTGTCAGTGTCAATGAGAAGAAAGATAGGTCACATGAATAGTTTTCATTACATTTGAAGAATTGATTCAGTAGCCCTCATGTAAATTTTTTGGTTTATTTACCCTCATATATATCCTAAAATTAGATAAATAGAAAAATATGTTATTTTGTAGTTTAGTGAGTACTCTATAATTATTCAGCTTATCAAAAAAAATAAAAATTCTCCTTTTTCAATCTTGAATCAATGGATAAAATTTTATTTTTTTTCCTATCCTGTGTCTTCCAATGAGAAATTTGAAAATGATGGTAATTGTAATAAATCTATAATTACTAAATTTGTGCTCAGATTCTTTGTATTAAATTGACAGTTATAATATTTTATGTGCTTCAAACATTTTGTTTTCTTTTTTACAGAAAATATTATAGCCAAACATTTTGTAAGTAATGATAGCTCAGACAGTGATGATGACCCAGAAGAGCCCGAAGGTAAGAGAGCCAGGTCCTCTGGAAATGATCTGTACTGAATAAAAAAATTGTTTTTGTCTGAATGTCTCACAAGTAATACTATTAGTAGTCTCTAAGGGATACACTGAGTCATCGTATCAAAAGGAATTGGCAGATACAGAAGAATTTAATGAAATAACACATGAGCAAGAGCCTATGGTGATGAAGGAAGAAGTCCAAGCTGCTTTGAAGGAAATAGCAAAAAATAAGGCCCCAGAAATAGATAGTATACCAACTGAAGTATTTCAGCTAACAGATGTTGCCCTGGATGTGCTCACCAAGTTGTGCCAAGAAATCTGGAGAACAACCACTTGGCCAACTGACTGGAAGAGATCTATATTTGTTCCCATTCCAAAGAGGGGTGGCCCAACTGAGTGTGGAAACTACGGAACAATATCATTGATTTCACATGCAAGCAAGATTCTACTGAAGATTATCCAAAAATGACTAGAACAGCACATCAGCAGAGAATTGCCAGAAGTCCAGGCTGGGTTTAGAAGGGGTCATGGTAGTAGGGATATTATTGCTGATGTTAGATGGATCTTAGCTGAAAGCAGGGAATACCGGAAGAATGTCTATCTGTGTTTCTTTGATGATGCAAAGGCATTTGACTGTGGATCATAACAAACTGTGGCTAACTCTGAGAAGAATGGGAATCCCAGAACATTTGATCATGCTAATGCGAAACCTATACTTGGACCAAGAGGCAGTTGTCAGAACAGAGCAGGGTTCAAAATTGGGAAGGGTGTACGCCAGGAATGTGTCCTGTCTCCATACCTTTTCAACATGTAGGCAGAGCAGATTATCCAGGAGGCTGGGCTCTATGAGGAGAATTGTGGCATCAGGATTGGTGGAAGATCTATTAACAATCTGCGTTATGCACATGACACAACCCTGCTTGCTGAAACTGAGGAGGACCTCAACCACTTGCTGCAGAGGGTCAAGGACTGCAGCCTTCAGTATGGACCGAGGCTCAATGTCAAGAAGACAAAGATTCTCACTACTGGACTAATTGGCAGGGTCAGTATGGATGGTGAAGAGATTGAGATTGGTCAGAGCTTCAGTTTGCTCAGCTCCAGTCAACAATCTTGGCACCAGCAGTCAGGAAATCAAAAAGCGTATCGCGATGGGAAAGTCTGCTGTTAGGGACCTTTCTAAAGTACTCAAGAGCAACGGTGTCTCTCTGGAGACTAGGGTGCGCCTGATACAGGCCATGGTCTTTGCAATCACTTGTTATGCATCAGAGAGTTGGACAATGACTAGGGAGGCCAGAAGGAGAATTGATGCCTTTGAGCTGTGGTGCTGGAGAAGAGTATTGAATGTACCATGAACTGCCAGGAAAACAGATTCATCCTAGAGAGGATTAAACCAAGCAACTCCTTGGAGGCAAGGATTCTGGGGCTTCGTCTAACATACTTTGGGCATGTTGCAAGGAAGGACAGGTCCTTGGAGAGGAAAACATGCTTGGGAGGGTGGAGGGACGGCACAAGAGGGGAAGACCCTCTATGAGATGGATTGATTCAGTGACTAGGGTAATTGGGATGGGTGTGTCAGAGGCAGTGTGATTGGCACAGGATAGAGAAGGGTTTAGCGCTGTTGTACATAGGGTCGCTATGAGTCGCAAAAAACTCGACAGCACATAACAACAAGGGACTGAAAGAATGAGATTGTAGCTTTCCATTGGCATAAAAAAAAGGTTAAATGTTACATATATCAAGAAAATAAACCTCACATAAATATTTCCTTTTTTCTCCCTTAAAAAGTGTTGCTTTGTAGTAGTCAATTTTAATTTGTTACCTCATGAATATTTTAATAATTTCATTTGGAAAAATGGATGACTGTAAGCTGAAAGAATTAATGTTGAATTGTTTTATGTCTGATTAGGTTGTCAGGCTTCTCAGGATGGAAACGTAAATTTAGAGATAGATTCATTTGGCTTTAAAAAATAAAATTTCACTTTTAAGTTATACTGGAAATTCAGTTAAGAGTTGATTTTGTCCAAGCAGATGTATGCACACCCATGTTTATTGCAACTTTGTTCACAAAAGCAAGGAGTTGGAAACAACCTAAGCGCCCATCAACAAACGAATGGATAGAGAAGCTGTGGTATATTCACACAATGGAATACTATGCTGCATTGAAAAACAAGGAACTCATGCAATATTATTCAAAATGGTTGACTCTGGAGGACATTATGCTGAGTGAAATATCCCAGTCACAAAAGGACAAATATTGCATGATGCCACTGTTGTAGAATGGGACTGACCTCGGGGTTGGGGAGCGACTGAGTAAGATGGGTTCAATAATGTATACTGCGCTGAAACAGAGGAGGGAGAAAACTGCTTAAAAGGAAAAAAAAGTTGATTTTGACTCAATAACAATAAGTTCAAGATATTGTTTTGTTGCTGTAGTTTAGGTTTTTAATTTTTTTATATTTAGTGTTAGCTTTCGACTTGGGGTCTTTTAATATGTCATCATAACAGATATTGTCCTTATTTTCTTGTGATTTTGGAATGAGGGTAACATAGATCTCACGGAATGGATCTCTTGTTTTTCAGGAGCGAAAGTGATAACATGTTAGTATTAATTCTTCTTAATGTTTGATAGAATTCACCAATAAAGACATCTGAATCTGTAAAAAAAATTATAAAGGTACATGCAAAATAGTATGTTTTCATGCTACCACAGAGCCTTACAACCTACTCTCTAGGAGGGTGATCATGGATAAATTTAGGTAAAATTACCAAAAACTTTTGTTTCATATTTATTTTGTCACATAAAAATATATTTTTATACTTTGAAAAGATAATTTTAGTGGAAAAGATTCTATGGTAAAATGGACTGATTTTACACTTTGACATGCTATTTTGGCATTGTTGTTTTTATGTGCTTTCAAGTTGCCTGCTACCCTATGTACAGCAGCTCTGAACCCTTCCCTGTTCTGAGCCAGTCTCACAGACTCTGACACACCAACCCACATTACCCCAGTTACTGTATCAATCCATCTCATCCAGGGTCTTCCTCTCCTGCATTGTCTGTCCACCATTCCGCACGTGATGTCCTTCTACAAGTACTGGTCTCTCCTGGCCACATGCCCCAAGTGTTTGAGATGAGGCTTCAAAATCCTAGCCTCCAATTTGTAAAAATGTTCCCAATAGTGAAAAAAAAAATGAGAAAGGTGATTCTAAGAAACGCAATGTGAATGAAGAATAGTGTGAAACACAATGTATATGAACTTTATAAGCAAATCAAATTAAAAAAAAGGAACAAAGAGATGATTTTACGATAAGAGAACACAGTATCCTACTGTGGTTTAAGTATAGTCACTTAGATTTTAGATGATATTAAGTGCTTTCTTTTCCAAAACTTGATAAATTCCATCAGATATGTCTTATTGTACCTCATTTTTTACTTAAAAAGAAAATTCTCTCTTCTAACTTAACTATAGGGCTCTTATTCCCTTCTCATGAGTTTCTGCACATTAGAGAAATGCAGATGCACAGGTACATGGCTTGCCTAGTATGCTGTGTCTTGTGATAATTAAAAGTAGTCCTTCATGAGAAGATATGGTTCTCACCTGGCCCACGTGTTGGATGGTTGAGCAGAAGTTGGAATTCAGTCGTTATTCCTCGCTGTCCTGCTTTCTAATGCAGTGGATGATTTACTCAACTCTATTAAGCAGACCTGGCCATGAAACTCCAAAAGAACCTTGCCCTGGAAGGCTTTGCATCCGACATATAACTCCTTTTTAGGCAATGATTTTGAAGGAAATCTTTAGATATTTTCAACTTTAGTTTCTTCAAATCAAAATGGGTTATTTTAACCCTTTCTCTCACATTTATTGCAGCCATCAAAGTAACAGATGTGTACACAAAGGCCTTTCTTTACTCATAAATAACGGCAAATAGCAATTTACTTTTAGTGTTATAACACAAAATAATAAACATCATAAGCATGTTGATTGCTAAATTTTCTTTAGAATTGATGTAATTTTTAATTGAACGTAAGACAAGTCAGATCTTCTTTTGTTACAAAAATGTAGATTTATTTAATATTTAGAAATAACAAACCTCATAGTTTTGGAAAAGCATTGCGTATCATATTCTGATTTGTTCATCTGCAGCACTTTATCATTCATTTTAAAATTTGATCTATTTTAATGAGAACATTTTTTTGTTGTATCTGGCATTAGCGAAGTATAAGAGAAGAAAATATCATATTTATTGGTGAAAATACAGTTGAGTGAATTAGCACTGGCAGCTAGGTCCTTTTCAGCTTGCTTAAACTAGTCATTGTGAAGGAAAAGTATCAATATTTATTATGCTCTTATGCATGCTTGCCTTATTATTTATTTTACATTATGAGGTTTGAACATGCACTGTCTTTTCCCTCTCAACACAAGTACACACATACATATACACAGAGTTTTGTATATATATACAATGATTGTGCAGATTGTAAAGGACTGAACAGTGCTTAGTTCTGTTGTCCATAAGGTCACAATCAGCTCAATTGCAAGTAATAATGACACCATATTTATATACAAAATTTACACATGTGAGATCAGACAAGGATTACTCAAGGGAGCTCCTACTCTAGTGTAGGATATATTGGACTTGGGGTATGAATGAATATTGTTATCAACTTGTTTTCCTGCTGTGCAATCTTTTGTTTTTTTCTTTTTTAAAAAAAATTCTTATTAATTTCAGTGAAAATTTACAGTGACTGAATTTTCATTCATTCATTGTTGCACTTTTCTCTGCTCCCAACCCTCCCCCCTAGTACACTACCCTCTTGGAAAAGTAAAAGAAAAATTCTTTCATTGTTTTACAAACCCCCCCCCGCCAGTTCCAATCCACTATGCAGCCTTTGCTCTGGACTCCTGTCCCTAATCACATATTGCTTTTAAACAGTTTTCTCCCTCATCTGTTTCAATGCAGTATACATTATTGAACCTGTCCTTCTCAGTCTCCTCCCAACCCCGAGGTCAGTCCTGCTTTACAACAGTGGCACCATCCTTTTGTGACTGAGATAATTCACTCAGCATAATGTCCTCCAGGGTCACCCATTTTGAATAATATTGCATGCATTCCTTGTTTTTCAATGCAGCGTAGTATTCTATTGTGTGAATATACCACAGCTTCTCTATCCATTCGTTTGTTGATGGGCACTTTGGTAGTTTCCAATTCCTTGCTATTGTGAACAAAGCTGCAATAAACATGGGTGTGCATACATCTGTTTGGATGTCAGTTATGGTTTCTTTGGGGTATATTCCCAGTAGTGGAATTGCTGAGTCAAATGGTATCTCTAGTTGCAACTTTCTGAGAAAGCTCCATACCGCCTTCCATAATGGATGCACCATTTTACACTCCCACCAACATTGAATAAGCGTTCCCGTTTCTCTACAACGTCACCAGCATTTGTTGCTTGCTGTTCTGTTAAATTTTGCAATTCTGACTAGGGTGAGATGATAACTCATAGTTGTTTTGATTTGCATCTCTCTTAGAGCTAGGGATTTTGAACATTTCTTCATGTGCTTGTTAGCCATCTCAATGTCTTCTTTGGTGAAGTGTCTGTTTTTGTTTTCTTTTTCTTTTGTAAACATTTTCTGTCAATGTTAAGAAGGTGAGATTTACTCATGTTTTGTGGGTAGTTGTAGATTGTCACTTTCTTTTCTGTATCATATTCCTCTGTATGGATAGTGTAAAACTCAATTGTCCAATTTATTTATTTCTTGTTTATAGCTATGAGGAATAATTCTAATTTTGGTTATTTTGTCTTTTTTTTATTGGTTTGCTTACAAAGATTATATACATTGTTTTTCACATTATTCTTCATCCACTTTGTGTTTCACAGAATTAATCACCGTTGGACCTTGCCCATAATTACCCTGTCTTTTCCCCTGGATCCTTCCTATTTCCTTGCCTCCATTCCACCCACAAAACTGTGCAACCCTGTGGTTTTACCCCTACCTATCCTCATTCCTCCACTTGCAACCCATCCCCCCCTTGGAGTCACATATATATTTTACTAGTTATCCTTCTATTTTTACAATAATAGTCTTATGCAGTATCTCTCCTTCTGAGACTGCATTAATCCATTCAGCGTAATGCTCTGTAATCTCTCCCAAGTAAAGTAGTGTTTTTCAAAATCATTGCTCCTGACTGCTGCATCATATTCCATTGTGTGAGTGTACCACAATTTTTCAATCCATTCCATTTTGGTGGGACATTTGGGCTCTTTCCATGTTCTTTGGATGGTGAGCAACACTGCTGTGAACATTGGTGTACAAATCTCCATTTATGTCTAAGTTCTAATTTCTTTGTGGTATATTCCTAGTAGTGGAATAGTTGGGTCATACAAAGTTTCTATGTTCAACTTTTTGAGGAAACACCAAACTGTCTTTCAGAGTAGTTGTACCATCATACAATCTCACCAACTGTGTATAAGAGTTCCCACCTCTCCACATTCTATTCACCATTTATTGTTTGCTGCCCTACTAAACTTTGGCACTGCTACTGGAGTGAGTGAGATGGTACCTCATTGTGTTTTTTATTTGTATCTCTCTTATTGCCAGTGATTTTGAGCATTTTTAAAAATATATGGAATGCTTCATGAATTTGCATATCATCCTTGCACTGGGGCCATCCTAATCATCTTTGTAAAGATCCAATTTTAATATATGTGTTGTTGAAGTGAGCACTGGTACCCACTCTTTATATCCCATCTTGCTGGAATCCACAATTAACATTCTTAGTATCAGCAGTCAGGAAGTAAGGAGATGCATTTCACTGAGAAAATCTGCAGTTACGGATCTCTCCAAATTATTGAGGAGTAATGATGTCAGTTTGAGGATGAAAGTGGGTATGATTCAGGCTGTAGTCTTTTTCATCACTTGCTATACATCTGAGAGCTGGCCAGTGAATAAAGATGACAGAAGAATTGATGCCTTTGATCTGTGATGTTGGAGATGAGCACTGAACATCCCATAGGGGGCCAAAAGAACAAACAGATACGTCTTAGAGAGGATGCAGCTAGAGTGCTCTTTGCAGGCAAGAATTAAGAGATTTTGCCTCAGATAGTTTGGGCATGTTGCTAGGAGAGGCAATTCCTTGGAGAAGGACATAATGCTAGGAAGAGTGTTGGCTCAATGAAGGAGAGGAAGACCCTCATCTAGGTGGATTGATGCGGTGACTGCCACAATGGGCAGGATGTGTGAAGATGGCATAGGATAGAACAGGGTTCATATATTTTATTCCTAGGGTCACTATGAGTTGTACTCAACTTGACAGCACGTAAAAACAACAACATACACTTTATTAAGAAGTTTACACGGATGCATAAACTTCATTAATTCTTACAACAACCCTGTCAGCTTTACTGTTGAGGATATGGAAGCAAAGAATAGGTTATGTAGCTGGTAAGTAGTAGAGAAAGAATTGGTGCCTGGGCAGTGTGCTCTGTAACATTATACAATGTGAGTACTCACTAGCAGTGATGATGAGGACACAGGGTCTTGAACGTCTCTCTGAAAAGGCCATAGGGAGTAAAAATAATACAGCCTCTCATTGCCCCAGGGCAGAAAGCAGGTAAAGAGCTTGTAGCCCGGCTCCATGGTGCCTCTATAGTTGCATCAACAGCAAGATAGTAATTTATTTATTGCTGACTCACAGGCTCACAATTGTGGTACTGAGAATGTGGTTTATTACGGAAAGAAGTTGGAGAGTGGAGGAGGCAAAGAATAGTTCTAAATAGAAGACTAGGTTTTAGCCAAAGTTCCAAAGCACTATTCCTCAATTAGTCCAGGATCTGGTTTTAGTTCATCAGTCAAATCCAAATCATCCAGCATAGTTTGCCTCCAAGCAAACAAGCATCCAGGAAGTTCTAAGTCAGCTTGTCCTTCAAACATCTGGCAAAACAGCAAAAATCTTTAACTGTTGCCTTTATCTCAGGGCTCCTGCTTAAATGGTGCTACAGTTTTTCCATAGTATGACATAGTATCTCCAACACCATCACCAGGGTCTCACCAACAGAGTCTTCTCTAGTCTCGCTCCAGTCTTGCCACTACAGGTCTTGTTCACTTCAAGTCATGCCACTCTGTGTGTGAAAGTGCACTTTTTCTCTTATCCTAGTCCCACAGCTCTTGGTGATTTGCAAGACCATGTGCCTGCAGTTAAGGTAGCCAGAGACCAGAGAGGGCTAAGTGTAATTGTTTAAAAAAAATCCAACCAATTTTTAGGTTAATACCACAGATGTATGCATTATTTTTAGAAGAAAAACTAATACTGTTTATTATGAACATGATCTTAAATTTAAGATGTCTTAAAATATATGTTTAAATTATAAGATTTTTAAACCACAAAGTTTATAAGTGAAAGTGAAATGAGAGTTCATTTGATCAGTCAATCATAAGGGTAATTTTTGAGTGACTGAATAGATGTTGAATCCTTTTTTGATATCTGTCCTTACTTTGTATAGTTTTTGAGTGGTTACTCGTTAGGGTAGGGCGTTAGCTACATTGGATATTGTGATGTTTATGTGTGTATTGTATAAAGTGGGAACAAAAGACAGGAATAAGAGGAAAGGGAAAATGGGAGGAGTTTTGCTGGAAATTTAAAAATAGATCAAATAACATTGTTCAGCAAAGGGTTCTAGTGTTAGAGCTGATGAGAATGGCACAGGATAGAGAAGGGTTCAAGTTGGCTGTTCATAGGATTGCTGTGAGTCGTATTTGACTCGATGGCACATAACAACAACAGCAACGATGAAGAAAGGCTCTGCTTATGTAGTCAGTAGGGACTTACTCTGTCAACCCAACTATAGTGCCTCTCTTGAGGTTCAAATTCACCAGCCACTGTGTGGGATAAAGAGGGTCAGTCTCCTCTCATATGATTTACAGCCTATGAAATCTTGCTGGAAGGTCAGCTATGAATCAGTTCCTATGTGATGGCAAGTTGTCTGATAGGTGAAGCTGTCAAGGCACAGTGGTTGAACACTTGGCAATTAACCAAAAGGTGGATGGTTTAAACCCATGAGCCACCTTGAGGGAGAACAACTTGGCTGTCTGCTTCTATAAAGATTTTACAGCTTTGAAAACTCTGCATGGCAGTTCTGCTCTCCCTATAAATCTCTTTAAGTCTGAATAAATACAATGGCAATGGGATTGATTATACAGAAAGAACAATCTGAGAAAAATGATGAGCTGAAATCTCTGCTACTTCACAGCAATAAACTATGCAAAATTAAATCAAAGAAATTTGTTAATTTTAGTATTCAGGTGTCCCAAGACATTTTTTTCTCTTATTTAAAATGGTTTTGTTTTTTTTTAATTTTTTATTAAATTTTTTTTTTTCTTTTCCCATGGGCACAGAAAATGAAGGTTCTAAAGTGGAGTATCAAAATGAGAATCAAGAAAGTTGGGTTCATCGAAAGTTGATGGCCTTGGTGACCGATTCAGCTTTGTTCAATACTCGAGAAGGACGAGCTGGAAAGGTGCACAACTTCATGCTGGGCTTGAAACTTAACACATCCTATCCAGTGTGTTCTTTGAGAGATTTAAGCACACAGGAATCCTTGGATGAAGATGAACTGGATGCAGCTGTAGCAGGTAAGCACGCAAAATGTTACCTGTGGACATTAATTGAGGAGATCCTTGTTGTTTATTCCCCTCCCTAGAAGAAAACATTTTAACGAATATTAATATTTATTCATTCCATCTAACATACTTTGGACATGTCGTAAGGAGGGACCGGTCCTTGGAAAGGGACATCACGCTTGGTAGGGTGGAGGGACGGCACAGGAGGGGAAGGCCCTCTATGAGGTGGATTGATTCAGTGACTGGAGTGATCAGGATGGGTGTATCATCAGAGATAGTGTGATTGTCATAGGACAGAGCAGAGTTTAGGGCTGTTGTACATAGGGTCGCTTTGAGTTGCAAGTGACTCGACGGCACATAACAACATGTTTGATTACAGAAAAATGTATTTTAGCTATAAAGACCTCAACTTATTACTTTTTTAAAAATTGTACATGTGTATTTTCCCATTCTGCTTAATCTGTCTGCATGTTAATAGATCTTAATCTTAATGTATCTAGCACTTAAGGTATAAACGGCCTCAACTTACAACTTTTTGGAAAAAATGTGCCTATATATTTTTCCATTCTGCTTAATCTTAATATATCTGTATCTGTGTCTGTATCTGTGCTGCAATCCCAAAGGCATGTGATTCAAATCCACCTGCTGCTCTGCGGGAAAAGGATGGGAAATCTCCCATGTGATTAACTGCCTCAGAAAACCTGCCGGAAGTTCAGCTATGGGTCAGTTCCATAGAAACAGTGCACAACAACATGTATCCATATATAGTTATCATTGTTGTTGTTATGTGCCGTTGAGTCGTTTGCGACTCATAGCGACCCTATGTACAACAGCCCTAAACCGTGCTCTATCCCGTGCCAGTCTCATTTCCTCTGACACACCCATCCCGATTACCCCAGTCACTGAATCAATGAAATAAGTCTAATCACATCTAAATAGAACATTTTCATTAAAATATGGAGAAGAGATTGGGAAATTTTCTGACTTATCAGAATTTAGTCTTGGAAATCTGAAAGGCTTCCACTTTGTTTAACTGAAAAGCACTTAAAGTTGAGAATTAGGATCTTATAAAGTTGCTTCAAGTTTTGGAGGAACAAGTTCTAGACTGAGTTTCTAGGAATGACTCCAAGAATACTACGGAATCATCCAACTTAACGCCTCCACAACTGCACTTGGCAGCAAACAGTGCAGAAACATTGCCTCTGTGTCATTTCCTCCTTTCAGTTCTCACGTGGGTGTTTATTCTTGACAACAACAAACTACTCAGCAGTACTGGAGCTGTAAGTATGTCTGGTAACCATGGATCTTAGTCTAATTCTCTATGCAGTGTGATAAAGAATATAACAAAGAGTTTGAGATGGAGTTGATGTTGCCAGTCTGCTGTTTGAGAAATGTTAAATAACTTTCTTAAGGTCATTTCATGAGAACCAGGCCACTTTCAGGTGTCAAGGTAGCCCAATTACACTCCTTTTTCAGTTCCATATGTGCCTTAGGTTAAAAGTTAAAATCATCTCGTAACAGTCTTTATTACAGTCATTCTTCAATTTTTCTACATCATCATACCATTTTCTCTTTTATAACTGCTTAAATTTTTTTCCACTACTCTTTGTTGAAGATACTTATGCGTAATTTTTTAATGAGAAATTAGAATGTGGCTCTATTTTTTATTGTTCAGTAGTACTGTAGGGAGCTCTGATAAGTTAATGGTAAGGAATAGTTCTGTAAACCTACAGGCAGCCTGTTCAAATCCACCAGCTACTCCATGAGAGTAATATAGGCATATTTCCTCCTTTGGGTTTACTGCCTTTTACAACCCACTGGAGGGTCAGCTATGCATTGATTCTGACTCAGAGGTACCTAAAAACATTTCCATTCAGGGAAGTCTGACAATCTAGAGTTAAGGATTTTCCCTGACAATCCAAAGGCAGATTGTTCAAATCTACCAACTGATCCACAAAAAAAAAAAAAATGAGAAATCTCATCATGTGAATTTTGCAGCCTCTAGAAACCGGCTGTAGGGTGAGCTATGAAGCAGTTCTGAATGACAGCAAGTAGGAGTAGTAGTAATTCTGTTTGGTACTTGATTTTTGAAAAAAAAATAAAAAAAAAAAGTGCCTGTGCTCTGTTCTGCCAATGAAATGCCCCTCAAGAGAATAATCCACACATTTGTAAATACAAATAAGCACTTTCATCCACAACTGGAGACTTTCTCCCTCAGTAGGAAGGTGGCAAAGGAAAAAGCCCCGAGTCCTTCCCCCCAACTGCTTTTATGGTTTTCCTGGGTGCCTCAGTCAGGGTGGGGAGATTGAGATCGTGGTTGGTGGGTCGGGGGGATCAGACATGTGGGTCAGCTTTTGACACGCTGACTGCTTTGCCCACCTTTACTCTTTTTGTGTCACGTAGACACTAGTTAATTCTTTACTTTGTAAGGACAGATAAGACTTTACCCGGGGCATTTGCGTTTGCCTTAAGCTAAGAATTTGTATGGCCTCCTTCTGCTTCTGGAATTAATGGAGGTTTATAAAAAAATGGGGTTTATGCTGTCCCTTCATGCTCTTTTTGTTTAAGTTAAGTAGAAATATGTTATATTATGTTTTGGCAACAAAGCCTAGGATATGAAGTATGTCCAGTGACATACTTGACATTTAAATCCTTTCCTATCAACTCTAATGAAAGTATGTCATAATGTCAAGGTTGTTGTTGTTAAGTGCAGGCGACTCATAGCGACCCTATGAAGGAGAGTCCTTGACGCTTGGGTGCCTTTCATCCTCTCTCCAAGTTCATAGGGTTTCCAGAGGCCAGCTATTATGGAAGTGGACACCACTCCTCCTTTCACGCTTGTTCAATCGGGGAGCTCCACCCCACTCTCAGTCTGCATTGGGTAGCCAACCATTAACGCATTTGACACATCCGTGTCACAGTGTCCAGCCTCACAGCAAACACAAGCGACCGCATGACGGCAACTTGTAAAGGTATATCTTAAAATTACTCAGTATGAAAACATACTTAACCATACAATCAGTGGTATTTTCCCTTGTTCTTCAACACACAGTTATGACAATTCAACTGTGTTTTGTTTGTCCTCTTGAAATTTATGCTATAAAGATGAATGATGATGGCTTTAAGAGCCTGTAGAGATATATAAAGGATTTGTAGCTGAAAGAATATTCAGTAATTTTTCACTTTGTAGAAAAGTGATTTCAAAAGGGATAGTTGTCATACTTGTCTGAAATTGCTCAGCAGAGCTGGGATTGGAACACAGGCCTTCATTGATCACAGTCTTCCCTCTCCTGTGGTACTCCCACCCCTTGCTCTCCCTGCTGCCCTTGAGTCCATTAGTCATTATCTTGCTGATGTGAAAATGTGCCAGCAGTCCGGAAATCAGGAGATGTAATATACTGGAAAAGTCTGCAGTTAGGAACCTCTCCAAATTGAGGAGCAACGATGTCAGTTTGAGGACTAAGGTGCATCTGATTAAGGCTATGCTCTTTTCAGTCACTTGCTATAAATCTGAGAGATTGGTAATGAATAAGGATGATAGAAGAATTGATGCCTTTGAGCTGTGATGTTGGAGAAGAGCATCACATGGACTACTAAAAGAACAAACTAATATGCCTTGGAGAAAGTATAGCCACAGTGCTTCTTGAAAGCAGGGAAAAGGAAACTTTTGCCTCACATACATCGGGCATGTTGCTAGAAGAAGCTCTTCCTTGGAGTTGGACATCATGTTTGAAAAAGCAGAAGGTCAATGTAGGAGAGGAAGACTCTAAGGCACTTGAATTGACACAGTGGCTACTGCAATGGGCTCTAGTGTGTCAGGAAGAGTGAAGATGGCACAGAATAGAACAGGGTTCAGATCTATTAGTCATAAGGTCACTAAAGATCACACTTGATGGCACCTAACAATTACAATGGGAAAAAATACATCTGAGAGCTTGACTGTGCTGTGACATGTTGGAGAAGAGTACTGAATATCCATGGACTGTCAACAGAATAAATCAATATATCTTGGAGAAAATACATCTTTTCACTGAATACAAAGATAGCAGAGCTTCATCTCATAGACTTTAGGCATGCTGCTATGAGAGACTATTACTTAAAGAGGGATGTCACGCTTGGAAAGGTGGAGGGTTGGCAAAAGAGAATTTTTTTTTCTTCAACCAGATGAATTGACACAGTGGCTGCTGCAGTGGGCTTTTTTGTGTCAGAGATGATGAGGATGACACAGGATAGGACAGTTAAGATTTGTTGTTCAGTGGGTTGCTATAAGTCATACTCAACTTGATGGCAACTCACAACAACAACATGTTCAAAATATTGAATGATGAGAAGGTCAAATAAAATCCACAGGAATCAAAATTTGACCTTATGTCTGTCCCACCTAAATTAAAAAAAAAAACACAAACAAACAACAAAACAACAAACAACTCAACTCAGGAACAGGTTTGAGACCTTGAACACTAATGAACGAAGACTAGATGAGCTGCTGGAGGATATCAAGAATATCATCCATGAAGCATGCAAAAGGTCATTACAAAGGCAGGAGAAGAAGAAAAGACTGAAATGGACGTCAGAAGAGACTCTGAATGTTGCACTAGAGCACCAAGAAGCCAAAGCAAAGAGAAGAAATTAAGAAGGAGCTGAATAGAAGATTTGAAAGGGCAGCACAAGAATACAAAGCAAAGTATTATAATCAACTGTGCAAAGAGCTAGAGTATGAAAATCAAAAGGGCAAAATTCACTCAGAATTTCTTAAACTGAAGGAAGTAAGGAACAAATTTAAGCCTTAAAGTGCAATACTTAAGGATGCTATGAGCAGAATATTGAATGATCCAGAAAGTATTAACAGAAGATGGAAGAAGTATACAGAGTCACTGTGTCTAAAAGAATTGGCTGACACAGAAGAATTTCAAGAAACAACATAAGAGGCAATGATGATGTCTCTTCACCCTTCTGAGCATGATGCTCTTCTCCATGGATCAGTCCCTGCTGGTCACATACACCAGAGTATGTGAGACAGAGCTTTAAAATCCTAGCCTCCAAGGAGAACATGGTATATTCAAGACTCTTCTTCAGCACCACAACTCAAAGGCATCAATTCTTCTTCTCTCCTCTTTAGTCATTATCCAGCTCTCTGATGCATAGTAAGTTACTGTGAAGACCATGAACTGGATCATGTGCACCTTAGTCTTTAGATTGACATCGTTGCTTCTCAGTACTCTGGAAAGGACTCTGACAACAGATTGACCTAAGGCAATTAATCTTTTGATTTCCTGACTACTGGTACATAAACATATTGTTGTGTACCGTAGAGTCAGAACTAACTTATAGCTGACCCTCCAGCAGGTTTTCAGAGATAGTTTGTCACTCAGGAGGAGATTGCCCATCCTTTTCCTGTGAAGCAGCTGGTGGCTTCGAATCGCATGACTTGGGGATTGAAGAGCAACTTGTTCCCACTTGGCCACGAGAGCTCCCTTTTACAGTAGAGTTTAAGTTCAGATAATTTTGGAAAGAGTGAAAACTCTACTTCCCTTTTCACAGTGTAGTATGGTACGCTAGTGTGTTTGAAAAATCTTCTTTAAGTGTACCTCAAGTACAGTACTTTAAAAGTGCATTGGCTTATATTGGAATCTTAACTGGGTCACTTAGTTTGGTAATCTCGAGTGGTTATTTACTATATACCTCAGTTTACTACAAAAGTAATACCAATCTTATGGTGTTATTGAGGGGATTTAATGAGATTTTACATAATCCCATCAGCACAGGCTTAGTAAACAGAGGGAGCACACAATATAGTTACCAGCTGATCAGTCCTGTAGTTCTCAAACCTGTTTGATTATGGAACTGCATGGAACTTTTGTTAATATGTTGCAAGTGATAGTCTTTGCAAATTACTTGAGAAATTCTATTTCCTGTTGGATCATCAGGGAGATTGTAACTATAGTGCATAACTGCATGCCAGAGCTGGGGATTGATCCACTAGCTAAACATTTATTTTTCTTTCACATACATCTTGAATTTATGAGAGACAAAAAGTGTGCAGAAGGGAAGGAACAAATTGAATAGAGACCTGGTTTTGGTTAATCTTCTTGTTAAAAAGTCTTAAAATATTGTGTTTATTGACTCAAAGCATCTGTGAATTATTATTATTATTATTATTTGATTAAGAAACTACATATAAAAATATTTACTTTAATATGTTTTTAATATTTGTGGAAGAATGTGTAGATAGACTCTGTATGTTGTAATTATTGTTTTTGTTTTATTCATTCTAAACCATTTTAGTTCTCCAAGTGCCATGGATTTAAATCACAGTGTGACATCCTGCACAGGGTTTGAGTTTTATGGACAAAGATAGTGTAGTGTCAGAAATCCTAAAAATAAGCTTTTCCAGCTTCACTTTAGCCCCCATTGAGGTGAGGCATTGCCTCCAGCTACCTTAACTGCAGACACATGGTCTTACCAATCATTAACAGCTATGGGACCAATATAAGAATGAGAGCTTTCTACATTGTGAGGTATCTTGGTGAACAGTGGTGGAGAGTAGGTGAAGACTGTGGCACTACTATGAATAGACTGTGGCAAGATGTAACCAGAGAATTCATGTATTTATGCTATGGTTAAACATTTTGCTTGCTGGATGCTTGAAGGAAAATATGACTTACAACTGCTCTAAGGTAAAGTTTACTGGATGATTGAGGAAACTAGAGGCTTCTTGAATTTGTGTTGCTGAACTGAGCTAAGGATGTCACTAATTGAAGAAATTGTGACTTGTCAATCTGGTTTAAGATTACTGGACTAAACCTGGACTTTCATTGTGTGTTTGCCTCTCCAACTTTCCAACCTATTTCCCTATAAACCCTATAATTCTAAGTCTGTGAGTCAATAATTAACTCAGACCCAATAATTGGTAGAAATAGGTGCAGGAGTATGGAGGATAATATGTCTGACCAAGCAGCTGTTTACTGCTATGGATATAATTGATGGGGACAGTTCCCTTTTATGAAGCATATAAAAGTAAGACTAATCCACCCCACAACTGTGTATCCTTTTATTTCACAGACACCCAACTTAAACTTGGACTTCATTATTTGTATAACATCAAATAATTTTGTCCCTCCACCTTTTCAAGCATGATGTCATTTTCTAAGGACTGGTCCCTCCTGGCCACATGTCCAAAGTATGTGAGATGGAGCTTCAAAATCTTTGCCTCCAAGAAGCCAACTGGGTTTCACCCTCACTAGGAGAGACAATGATGAATGTACCACCTCCCATAGTGGATTCATGCCTGCCGCTGTTTACAAAGCCTGGGACTGAACTCTATGAAATTTTGTTCACAAATTTCATTAACAAATGTTTCTATGGTCTAAGTGATGGTGAAGGGTAAATAATTTCAATTCTCTTTCCCCTCTTCTTAATTTCTTCCTTTTTTTTTTTAAGATCCTGATGAATTTGAACTAATATATGAACCCTTGGATGTCAAAAGTAAAAAGATCCATGTAGTGGACGGTGGGCTCACTTTTAACCTGCCCTATCCCTTGGTTCTGAGACCTCAGAGAGGGGTCGATCTCATCATTTCCTTTGACTTTTCTGCAAGACCCAGTGACTCCAGTCCTCCTTTCAAGGTAAGAACTGTGCATATAATATTCTGTCTACTGTCTTTCTTTGTATGTCTTATCCTTTAAGCCCATTTTTCCTGTTATTGCATGTATTTCTAAAACACAGGCCTGATTCATTCATTCTCCTGCTTCAAAACTCTTTTAAATTATTCTACATGGCCTACAGTAAAGTCAGTCTTGATCAAGATAGATCAATAACTCTGAAGCTCTGTGAGGAAAATGAGCTTAAATATATAAATATTTGGGAATTACCAGCAGGTAAAGGATCGTAGAAGCCATGTAAGTGACTGAGCTCATCCAAGGAATGTGTGCACTCTGAGAAGCGAATAAGTAATAAAATAACACTTAGCAGAATGACTGCTTTAAGAAATATTAGGAAGAAAACAATGGGAAATTTACTGTGTTGCTAATTTAAAGACAAAAAGCCTTTGAAAAACTGGAAAAGAGCACTTCCAATAGAAGAAAACTATTGTGAAATCTGACTGCATTTGTTTAAAGAATGAGAGGAAGCTAGGAAAATGGTGATGGTGACACCCGCCAAACCTCGCAGAGTCAGGCGTGTTACCAGCTGGACTGTCGCAGAGATTGTCAAGGAGTGCAAGGTGGGAGGAAACACAGACTGCAGGGACCCAGTGACAGCGTAAGAGATTTTTTGTGGGTTGTTTTTTTTCCCCTTGGGTTAGTTTTTTTTGTTTTTGTTTTTGTTTTTTTTCACCATGAGTGAATATAAGTTAGTCATTCTTGTCTCAGGAGATGTTGGAAAGTCTGCATTGACTGTACAGTCCATTTAAGGAATTTGTATTGAAAAATATGATCTTATGATAGAAAGCAAGTTGAAATAGATGCACGATAATTTTTGCTTGAAATCATGGACACTGAAGAAACGGAACAATTTACAGCAATGAAGGATTTGTACATGAAAAATGGCAAGGATTTGCATTAGTTTATTCCATCTCAACACAATCCACTGACTCAAATAGGGAGCTCTGGTGGCCTAGTGGCACGAAGCTGCACTGCAATCCTAGAGGTAAGCGGTTCGAATCCACCAGATGCTGTGCTGTAGAAGGCAGGGCAATGTCTTCTTATACCAATTTGACGGTAGACGCACACATGCACACACACACACACACACACACACACACACACACACACACACGAATGATCACGCTTGGACCAGATTCCTAAACTGCTGCATGAAAATATTCTTCTGTGTACTTCTGATTCCTCTGAGTGTCCTCCCATGCATTCTTTGTTGTGCCATATGCAGCAATCAGTTCCAGAACATAAGTCCTGATGATAACACTTTGATGTTTCGGTAGTGAAGTCTTTGCACAAGAGCAATTTTGGGGGAAATTTTTTAAAATGAAATCTTCACTAATTGGTTGGGTTTATAGCAGTAAGCTTAGTATAAGAGATCAGTGTAAAAATAGTGTAATGTGTACTGGAGTAGATGTGCAGGGAAATACAAGAAAAGGGATATAATAGCATGGGGAAGGCCGTGAGCAGAACATCTGAGGAACTAGAGTGATCCAAGTTATAGATACTGAGCTCATGTTGTTATATTCCATTTGAGTAGGAAGATTACTCATCTTTCTCCTACAGACCAGCTGGTGGATTTGAACTGCTGACCTTTGGGTCCAACTCCGTACACACTAGGCCACCAGAGCTCACCAGTAGGAGAGTGTTAACCAGAAACCAAGCTCACTGACATGTTTCTTGTGACTCATAAAAACTTTATGGAGAACTCCCCAGAGGATTTTCAAAGCTATAAATCTTTACTGGTCTGTTCATTTACTGTATAGAGGTAACTCATGGTTGCTGTGATGCTAAACACTGTAACACTGATGTGTCAAATACGATAATGGTTACCCATAGTTAACAGTGTTTGGTGGAACTTCCGATTCAAAATAAGCCTGGAAGCAGGAGTGGCATCCACTTCTGAAGTAGCTCACCTCCAGAAACCCTATGAACTTGGAGAAATGATGAAAGTTATACAAGTGTTCAGATCTTTCATTCATAGGGTTGCTTTGAGTCATCTATGACTCGATGGCGCTTAACAGCAACAACAAATCATTAGGGAAGCAGCAGTAGATTGATTTTGTGACTTCTTGCATTGCTTATATTCTTGAAAATTATCAATTTTATTTGTATAGTATGCTAAACAAGTATGTTAGTTTATTGATCTTTCTGAAAATTCTGAATGTTCAGTAATATAATACCATTTATACGCTTTATCCAACATTATGTTTCATTTGTTATTGGAATTGAAATTTGCAAAGACCCTAGGTTTTCATTCACTCATTTATACAGATTTATTTCCCCCTTGCCTATCTTAATTCTTCAGCGCATGTCCTGTTTCAGATTGTTGTGTTACTTACTCATGGTACTTGATTATCCTTTCTTTTCATATTGACCTTCCTTTCAGCTATTCCAAGTAGCATTCATTTATTATCTATCTTTCCTCCTCTCTCCACCATAATCCTCCTATTTTTGAAAAAAGCGGTTTTATGCAGCATTTGTCCTTTTGTGAGCTGAATTATCTCACTTAACAAAATGTCATCCTCTAGACTCATCAATGTGTGTAATGTTTCACAATTTCTTCATTGCTTTTCATTGTGATGTAAAACTTCATTGTATAAATGTACCAGTTTCTCTATTCATTCATTTGCTGATGGACATTTCAGCTGCTTCCAATCCTTTGCTTTTGTGATGTGTGTACGTACATCTCTTTGACACACACACACATTTCCCTTTGAGGTATATTCCTAGCAGTGGAGTAGCTAGGTCAAATGATAATTGTATATTAGAACAGACTACCTTCCATAGAAGTTGTAACATTATTTTGTGATCATTTCTTTACAAAAAATTCATGCAATTAAGAGCACAGAACTAAGATCTGTTTTGAGTTTATCATTTGTACTCCATTCCACACATCTAACAATTTTTATCTCAGTGTTGTACTATTCTTTGATAGCTCTAGCTTTGTTACATATTTATAATCTTAGAGAATATTTCTTAAGAACAGAACTATTCTCTTGGTAGTCCATCATATGTTCAATAGTCTTCTCCAGCACAACTCAAAGGCATCAATTCTTCTTCTGTCTTCTTTGGTCATTGTCTAACTGTCTGATGCATAACAGATAATTATGAAGACTATAGACCAAATCCGGTTCACCTTGGTTTCTAGACTAACATCATTGCTATTTAGCACTCTAGAGAGATCCTTGACAGCAAATTTTCCCAGTGCAGTTTGGTTTTTTTATTTCCTGACTGTTGGTGCCAAGAATGTTGATTGTAGACCCAAGTAAGCTGAAATTGTTGTCAGCTTTGAGCCCCACCTAACAACATGCCCAAATTCTGTGAGATAAAGCTTCATCGCATTCACCTCTAAAAATCACCCACGTGTCACTTTCTTCAAGACATACTTCTGAAATTAAAAAACTGATTATAGTCTATATATATTTATTTGGATAAGATGATAAAAACTCCAATGTGCTAATTAGTTTTATGTAAATAGATTAATTAAAGATTGTCACCACTGGACTGATTGGCAGCACCATGATAGATGAAGAGACTGAGGTTGTTAAGAGTCACAGCTTGCTCAACTCCCCAATCAATACTCTTGGCAACAGCAGTCAGGCACTCAAAAGGTGAATTGCATTAGGTAAATCTGCTGTCAGGGACCTTTCCAGAGTACTAAGTAGCAACTATGGCAATCTAAAGACTAAGGTGTGCGTGGTCTTCCCAATTACTTGCTATGCATCAGAGAACTGGACAATGACTAAGGATAACAGAAGAAGAAGTGATGCCGCCTTTGAGTTGTGGTGCTGGAGAAGAGTCTTGAACATACCATGGGCCACCAAGAAAACAAATAGGTCTGTCTTGGAGAGAGTGAAACCAAGTTTCTCCTTGGAGGCTAGGATTTTGAGGCTGTGTCTCACATACTCTGGGCATGTGGTCAGGAGGGACTGATCCTTGAAGAAGGACATCATGCTCGGAATGGTGGAGAGACAGCACAGGAGAGGAATAACTCAGATGAGATGGATTGATATAGTGACTAGACCAGTAGTGTTTGGTGTGTCGGAATCAGTGAGACTGGCTCAGAAGAAGGCAGGCCTCAGAGCTGTTGTACATAGGGTTCTTCTGAGTCTCAGGTGACTTAACACATCATTAATAATCTTCTATTTTGAGGTTGAACTGTAAAAATTAATTTTCATCATATAATTGAGCTATATATAGATTTCATAGATTTTTATAAAAGGTAACTAATTATGAAACATTTTCTTTGAAATTTTTTTGAAAGTTAATAGCATCAATGTAAGTGATGCTGAGGATTGTTTAGTTATATTAGTAGACTGGAAAGAATGCAGAGTCGGTAGTTGGAAAACATGGAGTTGGCAACAGAAATGAGGCTGGTAATAAGTCATGATTCTACTATTAATTTATAGAAGGAAAGCATCTCTCTAGCATCTTGTCAAGTTTTTGTTGTTAATCATTTAACAACTGTTAGCTGTTTATAATGCAGATATTTTTGTTGGCATTTTTAATGGGATTTTTCTTTAACATTGGTCATGGATATAAGTTGGTGCATTAAAATCAGCTTTGAGCTGTGGTGCTGGAGAAGAGTATTGAATGTACCATGGACTGCCAAGAAAACAAACAGATTCATTCTAGAGAGGGTTAAACCAGGCTACTTCTTGGAGGCAAGGATTCTGGGGCTTCGTCTGACATACTTTGGACATGTTGTAAGGAGGAACCAGTCCTTGAAGAGGGACATCATGCTCGGGAGGGTGGAAGGACAGCGCAGGAGAGGAAGGCCCTCTATGAGATGGATTGATTCAGTGACTGGGGTAATCGGGATGGGTGTGTCAGAGGCAGTACGATTGGCACAGGACAGAGCAGAGTTTAGGGCTGTTGTACATATGGTCACTAGGAGTCGCAAGTGACTTGATGGCACATAACAACAACAACAAAAACATCTTATTTTAGGAAAAGTATTAAAAGAA